TAAGCACAGCGGACGACGTAGAGGCCGCTGCTACTAGAATTACCAACAACATCAAGGAAGCCCTCCACGCGGCTTCTACGGTCGTCCCGATTACTGCAAGGCGAGACGATCTGCCGCGTGAGATATGCGTGCAGATCAAGCGCAAAAGGGCGCTGAGAAAGCTCTGGGCGCGTACTCGCTGTCCCAGAATTAAGACACAGCTGAACACCTTATCGGAGGAACTGTCGGTTGCAGTCCAGGCCTTCAAAGGAGATGCCTGGGATCGGCGCATCCAGAAGGCGGAAGAGCATAATGCGTTGCTCTATAGACTGAACCGGCAGTTGACCAAATCCAAACCTCCCGTTTGCCCGCTGACTGATAATACGGGCAAACGATGCTATGATGCCAAGGGCAGAGCGGATATCCTAGTCGAGCACTTCGAGGAGCAATTTATGCCGAATACAGCAAGTGCGGAGTTTATGGAGCTTCATGCCCGGAAGGAAAGTCGCGTACAGGGAGTTCCTGTCGTCGCCCGCGCCGCCTCTTGCAGGAGATTGGTTCATCTCCCCCGCAGAATTGCGGAGGACAGTAACCTGCCTGCAACCGAGGAAGGCGCCGGGGCACGACGGGATTACCAACGCTGCTCTCCGACAGCTGCCCAACAGAGTCATAGTAGAGCTTGGTCGACTCTACAATGGGATACTGCGGACATCCCACTTCCCGGAGGACTGGAAAAAAGGCAGAATCATCGTCTTGCCGAAACCCGGGAAGGACAGGCGTAGAGCTGCCAACTACAGGCCGATCACGCTATTACCACATATAGCTAAACTGTTTGAAAGATTGCTGCTAAGACGTCTCCGTCCGTGCATCCAACTTCGGGCGGAGCAGCACGGATTCAGGAGGGGTCACTCCACAGTCACCCAGCTGACTAGAGTGCTGCACCCGCTTGCGGCTGAGTACAATCGTGGCCGCATATCGTTGGGCGTCTTTCTCGATATCGAGAAGGCGTTCGACCGGGTGTGGCACGCAGGATTATTATACAAACTGAAAGAACAGACCAGTGTCCCTCTTTCTATATTGCGGTTAATAGCGTCTTTCCTGAAAGACAGGAAGTTCTACGTCTGCGTAGAGGACGCCGAATCCGCAACGAGAACCATCCAAGCCGGCGTCCCACAGGGCAGCTGTTTGTCTCCAGTCCTGTACGCGGCTTACACCAACGACATACCTACACTGGCAGGCAGGCTTCAAGAGTGGGAGGACGACGTTGAGCTGGCGCTATTCGCGGACGATAGCGCCTATTTCACCTCGTCCAGAAGAGCCCACATAGCCACTGCCAAGATGCAGCGTCTGCTGGACCTGCTGCCACCATGGCTGGATGAGTGGAGGATGGTCGTCAACGTTGGTAAGACGACCGCTCTGCTCACTCGCCGTCTCAGGAAGTTTCCACCTCCGCTGACCCTCAACGGCCAGAAGATTGCGTACCAGAAGGCTGTAACCTACCTTGGGTGCAGGATCGACAGGACGCTGCGCATGACCGCGCACGTCGACTTCGTCGTCCGCCGGGCCCGATGTGCGCGGGCGACGCTCTTGCCGGTCCTGGCATCTAAGCTGCCCATACGAACCAAGCTCCGGATATACAAGATGTATATCCGGACCATCATCACCTACGCTGCACCGGCCTGGTACGCACTTCTGAGCGACCCTCTGAGGCGGCGACTACAGGCCCAGCAGAATCTGACATTAAGGACGATCGTCGGAGCAGGTCGCTACGTCCGGAACGACGTGATAGCGGCCGACTTGAAGATCGAGAACATCACCGACTTCGTGGCCCGGTTAGCGCGCGGCATGTTTGACCGTGCCGATAACGGGCCACACGAACACCTTAACGGCTTTGCGCCGTTACACACCCGGCCACCGGACGGGCGACCTCTTCCAAGAGAACTCCTCTCTATATGTGATTAGAGAGTTGAGTAACAACCCGCAATGCCGCAGATAGGCCAACTCAGACTTACCAAATAACCACCTTTTTCCGTAGTTGGTTAACTACGGAAAAACATTTTACCGCCACCACGGAAAACCCGTGTATGCTATCAAGCCTAAATAAGGCTTAAGGACTGTCCCATAGTAATGGGATATGAGGACACCCGGGCAATGGGGGCTACCCCGAGGCCCGATATCTGCTTTGTCCTAGGACACTGTAGACGACAATCAACAACCTATAGTTCATAAAAGATAGCTTGATCTCTGCGACAGCTGTCAGTAAAAATCATGCACTAATTAGGTCGGCATGCCCATAAAGTATGACATTGACAGGTACTGTCTGTACTACTAAGAAATTCAGGACTTCATAGGCGTGATTTTTACTGACAGCTGTCGCAGAGATCAAGCTATCTTTTATGAACTATAAGCTACCTCTTATTAGATCTGCTATCTCTCAGTGAAAAGCCCGTCAAAATCGCTACAGCCGTTTCAGATTATAGCCAGGACAAAAAGAAAAGACTAAAACTTTAAAAGCTGTTTTATGTTGTAAGTACCTACTGTATATACTTTCTTATGTATTTAGTAAAAAAGATGTTATTTCGACATAACAAACGGACATTTCAATTTTATTTATTTGTATAAATAGCGATCCGCCCCGACTTTACAAGGGTGATTTCTGGACCCCGACAACAGCGCCTATCGGGTCCTATTTTGAATCTAAACCATTGTACAGAAATCAAAAACTTCAAAAAAATTGGTCCAGCCATTCCTAAGTGATGGTCATGCATACATGCGGCAATTGATTTTAATTTATTTATAATATTTACATATAAGTGTAATAAGTCAGCTAATTGATAGAATCAGGCGTTACTTTGGGGAAATCCATTACAATAAAAATATTAATTACTTCGCAATCTCCCGCTAACTAAATACAATGATGTGTCTTACTTGGATGACCTGTAGAGTTCTACATCACCTGAGAATGCCTTGTGTAGAGGCGAAACACGTGCCTTATCGTCGATGGTGTGTCTTACCTGGAATAGTAGTGTTGGAAGTAGTGGTGCCGGGAGTAGTGGTGTTGGGAGTAGTGGTGCTGGGACTAGTGGTGACGGAGTTAGTGCATGCAATTGAGGGAGGGCGGGAGGTGCTCTTCAAACCAGGTAAGACACATCATTGTATTTAGTTAGCGGAAGGTTGCGAAGTAATTAATATTTAATAATATTTAATAAGTCAGCATAAATGTAGAATAGAATAAATTTTTTTTCAAAATAAGTACGTAGGCGAAAGAGGATCATCTTTAGATTCGCTCATGATGGATGGCGCAAATATTACGTTACAACATAATACGAGAAAATACAATAAGATCGTTAGCAATTCATCGCAAATATATGATACGCTTCCCGATGATGTTTCTCTCAAAATACAATAATGAAACTCTCTAAAAAACAACGGTTGTCACGTTTTTTTTTTATAGAATTCGGATGACAAACGAACACACAGTCCAAATGCTGTGGCCTATAGACATCTACATTTAACCTCAATTAAGAAACCATTTTACTCTCGACCTAACCAGTATTTTATAGATGTGCCGACAAGTAGATTACAAGAATAACTTATTGAAAATTATTCAAGCTTTATCACTGGTTCGAAAAATCCTCTCCCCTGAGAAGAACCAAGAAGAAACACAGCGGGACTTTTTTTTTAAATAACAGTAGGTTATAATTTATTATTTTATACAATTGTTATGAAAACATTTAGAAACAGCATAGTAGCGATTACCTCAGTCCCAGGTGTTATTATTATCAACCATTTTCTTTTTAGTAGTATAATAACACTTATTAAACAATTTTTTCTCAGTAAAAGCTTATACATTGCCCCATGAAGGAATTCTCTCTCTCTCTCTCTCTCGATACCCTCTCTATGTAGTCGAGTTACTATGTACATGTCACGTATATACGGCTCACTATTGCGCACAACACTCATTTGTGAGGGAGCTATGGAACAATTAGTTCGCTTAGTTAATCAGTTCTAGTAGTAGTTAATTTTTTTATAGCATAAGAGCGATAAACGAGCACACAGTCCACCTGATAGTAAGTGGATGCTGTGTCCCATAGACATCTACATTTATCATCAATTATCACAATGAAGATACGCTGCCACCTTTGAAGACTAAGATGAAAAGAATCGTTTCCAGTAACAAGGGTCTCCGGTTCTCTACACTCACCATACAAAACACAGCAGCATTAATCTACGATTTTACGCTGGTATAATGTGAGAGCGTGGTTCTGTCCAGTCTAGCCAATTTGTGCTACAATCATATAGCTGCAGCATAACTCTACCACGTGTGTATTGCCTGACTACATGTAATCGAAATATTTCATTCTGAAAACATACCGTATTCCTCACGATATTTCTCTCCACCGCACAAAACATAATATATTACCATTAAAAATTCATCATCATTATTAGAATCCAACAGTAGTGAACATAGGCCTCCTCTAAGAAATGACATAATATCCATGGTTTTAAGCAATTTACATCCATCGACTTACTACATGTCTCACCATGTCACTTTAAATTGCAATTAACAATTTCATTGGTGTTTCCGGAGATTTTTTTTTAAACGTTACCCCCACAATAGGATTTTCTCCTGTATCTTGGAGGCAGGTTTAAAAACATAAATTGCACGAAGAAAACATACAGACCCGAAAGAATTATTTGTATGCCATACAAATACTCTTTCCATGCGGGATTTGAATCCGCGACTCTCAGCGCCACAACTCAATACTAAGTCACGGCGTACGGAGCCGTTAATCAAAATATCTGATTTCAACCGATCGATCATTTTATTATTACAATCAAAATTAACTATCTACACAACTAGTTACGTTATTTATAACCGACCCCACCGAACCGGTTTCCAATTTTATAAAAGAAAAAAAAAACGAGCCCACGAGCCCGGTATGCATAAGCCACGGGGCCAGGACGGATTATCTACTATAGGTATAAAAATAGATATTATATATAAAATTCAAACCCACCTTGAATACCTCTCTGGTGGCGGAGAAAGGCAATACTGCCAACCCAACCAACAGGTCGGCGACCGCAAGCGACACGATGAATAGGTTGGTAACGCTGCGTAGCTTCGATGAGCACAGCACAGCCGCTATCACCAAGCAATTACCTGCAGACAAAGTGAAATCTTGTGTGTTTCTGTGGCACCTTTTTATCGAGTAAAATTATCTTTTAAGTTTTTCTAATTTGCTCTCTTGCCGTGTAGAAGTGCGTCAAAATTTACTTCCTCACACTCACATCAGTAGATGTAGACCTCACCCGTAGATGTCGTAAACGGCGACAGGGGGAAATTGAAACAGGAGATGGGCAGCAAAATCTCCCTGAAAACAACTTACAATAAAAAAAATTGCAGTTATCAACCCTTTGCCAAACGTGGCAACTATGGATCCTTTATAGCGGCAATCTATAGGCCTGTGTTTAGCAGTAGATTATGGTAGGCTGTAATAGATAAATGAATAAATTTGCCCCATAGTTTAATAATTAATAGGCATCTACTTTCGCAGAGAGCCTGAGCATAGATACCACTATTCAAGAAATAATTCGAGAGGTGAAGGTCATAAAGATTGTTACAAGGTTTTATTTTAGAGGGTGGTGGACACTAGTGGATAGTAGATACGACAATATGCTGAGAGTTAAAGACATAGTTCTTAAACGTCATGAAGATTGTTATAAGGTTTAATTTTAGAGGGTAGTGGACACCAGTGGATAGTGGACACACAATATGGTTTGTTTTATTTAGTTTTCGTTTCATCGGATGGGGACGTCTCATGGGGTAGCGGATATTTTTACAGTCACTATAGAAGGAAACTTGTTAACAAAAGTTAAATAAATATTATGCATTATTTAACATAATAGAAAGAAGATTCTTAGTAAATTCTTCTGCCTTGCATATCAGCCTCTGGAGGTCTACTGTATATGGAACTTTTTTATTGCAGGGATAATTATTTTATACACACGTGTGTATGTAGAGTATGCAACCGGACTGACCGTGGGGACTCAGAGGCTAAGCTCTAGCTGTAAGCACCTATCACATTAAGCCGAGAATATCTCGAGTTCAATCTCCGCTGCCACCAAAGAAATTCCTAATTGCAATTTTAAGTACTGATTTACCACATGCTCGGCGGTGAAGGAAAACATCGTGAGGCAATGGATTATCTTTCACTGTCATTACACGGCAGCATCTAATTACTATAGCATTATCATCGTCCATAACAGAACTACTCGTGAAACAGATCTACCCTCATAATGCCGTTAGAGATACCGGGCGGTTTAATTATTGCATAATGTTAAAAAAAATATAATCAGATAAGATCCACGTAATAAAATAAAATGATGCGCCTAAACTAAGTAAGTTTGAAGAACACCTTCCGCCCTCCTTTAATAGCGTGCACTATCTATCCTCGTCGCCAATAATACCAACACCATTACATTAGAAAAGACACACCACCGTCGGTAATAAGACAGGTGTTTCGCCTCTTCTTCAGGTGATTGAATTCTGGCTTGCCGCTAAGTCTATTTTTTATATTGGATAGGGCAAACGAGCACAGTTGCAGAGCACGAGTTGCAAATAAAATATGATTTGAAATTTGAATCAAATAAAAAACTGTTTTGCGTAACTGTTAACGATTGAAAATTGGGTGGGTATGTCTAAATGAGATTAATTTTAAGTAATGCCTGCTGTAATGTTTTTAAACAGAAGGTAGGTAATTAAGTACCAACGTAAAAGTTGACTAAGTATGGAAATAAATGAGAAGTTGATAAATGCCTACCTGTTTTTGAGAACAAGTTGTGATTAATAATGATTGCAATGAAGTTATGTTAGAAAAGTAGGCAGGTAGGACCTTACTGTAATAAATGGATTTTCTGGATAGATTTGTACATAAAAATAAAAACAGGTAAATTGGTATAGGTAAGTAAAGGTAATCGATGGATGGTAGGATTGGAAATAGGTAGGTGTGTGGGCTGTATTGGAACGGACTCTCTGTTATACCATCGCGTAGCCCCTCACGGTTTCTTTGTTTCTGTAAATCTGGATGGATGATGTGAAAAGCTGTGAATGAGTGCGATGATTGCTGTTTTTAGCTTCTGTAGGTGAAGAATATGAATTTGTAGGTGCCTTCTTTGGCATGATGAATCAATGATTTTGATGATTTATGCTGCGTAGATGGGCCTTGCCGGTTTTGCCTACACAAGATAGCTTGAATGATGAAAATTGGATGATGAGTTCCACCACGTAGATGGGCCGCGCCGCTTATGCCTACGGGGGATTTCTTGAAAGCTCGATGATGGGTGAAAGCTTCTTGAGTGTGTGATGAGTTGGCTATTGTTGATGAAGTGAACGAATCGTCCGTCAAGTTTAGCCCCAGTTATAAGACACGTTGGCACGACACTTCCACAAAATGGCCGATGTCGCCGCGGGTCTGTTCTTGCGCCGATGATAATGTAATCCGGCTCGAAGAACCAGCAATGGGGAGGCTTCTTCGGACTTGCTGTTTTGTTGAAAATATATATAATATCGATTCCACAATAACTAACTATACAATTGACACTGACTCTAATGTCAACGTTCCGGGAACTCATGTAAACGTTCCGGGAAGTCTACAGTTTGTGATCATATCCTAGATGGCCCCAACCATTATATCAGATTTGATAGACCACAAATCCTCGCGAAAAAACACCTATTCCTACCAAGGATGATACGTGAGGCTATTGAAATTAAAAAAACATCCTAATTTCAATAGAGAAGGGGGCTGGCTACTACCACCCACTTGGGACCCTATAATCAATAAAATTAAAACTAAACCCATCATACCACTGCAAGACCTCAGGACATAATCAGTTCATTTTTCATAGATCGGACCATAAACAATAATTAAAAAAGCTGAAGGTACTCCGGGTTTAACAATGACATCGGGACGTCAGTCATCTCAGTCCCCCGTGACCATGGGTGCTGGAAAGAACCCGAACCGTCGGGAATTAAAAATAAAAATAATTAAAAGTATAATTAAACACGATAAAATCCGTAAAAGTAGTTTTAAACAACGTGTAGTGTTCGCGTAAATATAAGAAATCATTATACAACTATACTACTAATATAACTGCAGCATGGTTCTACGACGTATAAAATGTTTGGATTCTTTTAATAATATTGGATAATGCAATAAGAGGTGAAAAGTACACGTATCAATCCTGTAATCAATGGCCCGAAGGTTTCTTGCCGGGCTTTCTCTGAAAAGGTCTTGCTTTTGCTACCAGTGGAGACTTTGACGTTCATTAAAAGTTTGAACAAGTCTAAATTAAACAAAAAGTTTTGACTTTAACTTTGATTGAACACTGAAATGATTTTCAGCGTTCCTTTCATTACTTGGATGAGTCAGTTCCCGCGTGCCTACCTTTGCAAGCCTTATTAATAGTTGCTCTAACTTTATACTTCGGAACGTCAAAAGATATTTATCCTTGAGAAGTTAAAGGAAGTTCGAAGAATAAATATTTAAATAAATAATTCCGCCAATTGTTTGATGATTGGTGGCTAAGATTTCAAAGTTCAGAATTTCCAAACTTTTTATATTGAATTATTGCTAAGTACGCCGAAAGCGGGCGAAGTTTGTTCTCAAGTTTTGTTAATTTTACGAAGATTTATACAAGAATACGATACAGCCATGATAATATTGCGGGTAAAGTTTAAATTATGGTTCGGAAGCTGATATTCGAGTGTTAAATTTTAGTATTGTTTTCAAATTAATCAATTAATTATAGTATACTGTTACTTACAAACTGTGTGGATTTCAATTAAGCTGTCACTCTGTAGCCCTCGTTATCTGAAGTTGATTATGGGTTGTTGCCACGTACTACCAGGTGGGCTTATTACTCGTTGTCTCACATAATTACTTCTAAGGGCTAAAAAGGGAATGTGTTACAGCCAGTAAATATACTGGTACTCTATAAACTTCAGAACAGAAGATAGCCGTGCAAGCACTGCCCTTTAGAAGATCCTTAACCTAGTCACACTATCAGAAACGTAACTCATCATGTTAAAAATAATAGATTGGAAAATTATAAATTATGCCCGCTTGTGATTCTTAATAGTTATATATTGTCAAGATATACCCCCCATGAACAATTACACAAATAGATGACTGACGAGAAGATACTGGAGCTGGAAGAAGAGGTAGACAAGTTGCGCTGGCATATTATTGGATTATCCGAGGTCCGTAGAGAGGGGGAGGATACGGCAATCCTCGAGTCCGGCAACTTGTTCTACCACCGGGAAGGCGACCATCTGTCCCAAGGAGGTGTCGGATTTATCGTCAACAAGTCTCTCGTCAACAACGTTGTAAAGATTGGGAGTGTGTCGAGGAGGGTCGCGTACCTGATACTCAGAATCACCAAACGGTATTCGCTGAAGGTCATACAGGTTTACGCACCAACCGCGGCACATCCCGATGAGGAGGTGGAGGAAATGTATGAGGATATTTCTAGAGCCATGCATTCCTCCAAAACCCACTACACGGTGTTGATGGGAGACTTCAACGCAAAACTAGGCACAAGAGAAAGCGGTGAGCTGAAGGTGGGGAAATTTGGAGTAAGGCAACGGAACCGAAGGGGCCAGCAGCTGGCCGACTTTATGGAGAAAGAGGGACTCTTTATGATGAACTCTTTCTTCCAGAAGCGGCCCCACAGGAAGTGGACCTGGTCGAGCCCCGATGGTTCGACAAAAAATGAGATTGACTTCATTATGACGACCAGACGCCAACTGTTCAGTGATGTCTCAGTGATCGCAAGGGTGAAAACTGGCAGCGATCACCGAATGGTTAGAGGCACACTGAACCTAAATGTTAAGTTGGAGAGGTCTCGTCTAATGAAGTCAACGCTCCGTCCCCCTCGTGCTCTAATCCAGAATCCCGAAACCTTTCAGCTCGAGTTACAAAACCGCTTTCAGTGCCTAGAGGATTGAAATGCAGTGGACGATATGAATGACAAGCTCGTGGAAACTGGCCATGCGGTCGGAGCTAAGTTCTGCAAGACCCGCCGCAGAAGAACACAAAAACTCTCCGATCACACTCTTAATCTCATGGCTGTTAGACGGGAGATGAGGCTGCAATCGTCAAC